AGATAGAGCAGACTAAACTAGAACAAACTTAATTAGAGCATTCTTCGATAGAGCAGACTAAACTAGAACAAACTTTATTAGAGCAGGCCTAACTAGAATACATTTAACTTAAAAAGATTAAATTAGAACAGGCCTACATAGAACTGACCTATTAAGAACAGGCTTAATTATAACAGACTTAATTAAAACTGGCTTAATTTTAACAGACTTAAATATTACAGAATTAAATAGAACAGATTAAATTATTATAACTAACCTAACTAGAACTGATTTATAGACTTATCAAGAATCTCTTGACAATATTTTGAACTGTTGGAGAAAATTGATTGTAACTTGTGCCTGTTGATTTTGCGTTGGGTGTGTTTTTCTATTTGTACGATAAAGCTAGTTTGTTATACTTTGGAAATTGCTCTTTTAGATAATAACTTTGATAGTTTGATACGTTGGTACTTTTTTAAATTCCAATTGCAGACAAACTATAGATATTGTAATAATGGTGTATGCCCCTACCCTTTTTGACTAACCCCTACATCTCTGTTTCAGAAAGCATTGGTACGCCATGCTTGACGGTGAGCGACTTTGGAGACCCGGGCCGTATCGAGGGGCAGGAGACGTCATTTGCCATTATTAGTAAGTTGATGTGCTCAGGGATATTTTAACTGTTAGTTATGTATCTATATATCAAAGTAATAAAGAGGTCGTTTAGAAGGTGACTGCAGACTTAAAGAAGCCTGTACACGTCATACCATCGTCACAGATCAGCACGAGAACTTAATACCTACAGTAATAATATGGTGGTACCAACGCAGCTTCAAACCACATTGCGTGTGACCACTTCGGCACATTGCCTTAGATTGGCCTTCGATAGAGCTTTATATTCGGTGGACCTAAATGAAGAGTCCTACAACGTTATAATCCAACGTATATTGCACACGCACAAGAACGTCATTAAACCGTTTTATATGCGTTCGATGAGAGGATAATTTCATTTCAGCAAAATTTGTCATTACACATTTGCTGCCAAACATTCAAATACATAGATTCATGACGGACCAATTCACCCCAGGTGTGTATTGTAAGACAGTCTGCCTCGATTTTGTCCCACTTGTATATAATTTAGATAAAGTTCACTGGTCAATTTCAACCAATTCCAAACCCAATACGTTGTTAAGGGTAATTATACGGGTTTCTGTATAAAACAGCGGGGAAATCACTTGATAGTTTCGATAAATACTCGTCAAATAGTTCATATCGATCAAACAATAATAGTTCAGTTTATTCCAAATGACGATTGTGCGTAGATGACGCTAATTGGATCAGTCTTGGGTAGCCTCGCTCCTTCAAGTGTCCTCCCTCGTGACGTTCTCGCGTTACCATCGAATTGATAAACATTACACCGGACTTACCAGTAGTCAGTTTGGTGTTTACTACAGGGATTAGGCTCCATGTCATCTCTCGTAACGGTAAAGACAACTGCTATGGTCATACTGATTTTGTCGAACCATTGATCATATACTGTACAAATACAAAAATAACACAGTTTTCCAACCGTTTCATTCTAATGAATTCTTACCAAGAGGCTCCCCTGGGTTTCCCGCCTTATCTGCTAAGCTCGATATTGCGTCACGCGCGACGTCCCACACTGTGACGACCAATACAACGTTTCTTGATAGGACGCCAACTCTTACTCTCGCGAGATGACATTAATGCGTTCTCTTGGCTAAATATGACCTTCTGTATCTGTGAAGGTCACCCGTTGTCAGTGTACGTATTTAGATGGCATCATTGGTTTCAACCTACTGACCTTTGCGACTCCATAGAAATCGACAACCATCGAATAAGTAAAGACCATTCGCATCGGGGCCATTGTATGCCAAAAGAGGACTCTGAATGTCTTCAGGGGTAGTCGATAACAAACTGTCTTTGTACATTACGAAAACTGTAGTTTATCGACCAAATCTACATTTGAAATTTGAAAAGCATGTCGACTTTGGGGAAAATATGTTTACTCACATATATGTGATATTTAGGTTATAGGATTCAATGCGTTGTTATGACGGTTACTGTATGCGATTTATCTTATTCTTGTTGTCCAGATATCCTGCTCCAATGAACGCCGTTTCGTTGTCAATATTCGTATCATTGCAAAGCTAATTGGGAGTGGGATTATATTAATTTCTTTACATGTAAATATGTTCGGGAACTTGCCTTTTTAAATCTAGGTTATAAGGTTATAATTGTTTTTGTGTTTTGAAACAACAATATGTTTACAGCTAGGAAGTTTATCAGATTGGTAAACAAATTACACTTACAAATGTGATAAAGATTTAGATGTCGAAGTTTTACTGTTATGTTTGGTTTACTCACAGACTTTGCCAAATGTAGTAACAAGTTGCAATATGTAGATGACTCTTGATCAACAATGCTTTTTCTTACAAACCAAACATGTTCAGTTTTACGCTTGTTTTTGTTGCAGAGTCCAACAGAGTAGCGGCAATGATCCCTGTGATATCACTGATACTCCTCACCATAGCGGCGGTCCTCAGTGTGCTAGGCAACCTCCGGCAGGACATCAAGACACTCATCTCCGCTGTCATCTACATTCTAGCGGGTAAGGTTAGGTCGGTCATTCTTTCGCTGTATCTTTCGCTGTAAAATACATCGTTGTAAGCTTTTTAGCTTTTGGAGATGTCTTAATTGCATTTCCTTTACTTATATATAGTGTCCAACCGGTACATTCTCCGAGTACAATGTACGGCACAGCACCTCCGTAATGGGACGCGCCGTACCAGCCGGATCAGAAATGAAAATCCGCATCCGCATCCTACATACTACAGCAACGTTTCTCTCCTAAATTATTATCCAATAGGAATAATAACACAAATACAAAATCTTGTATTTCCCAGCGACATAGGCACTGACTGATATTTATTTACATATAATCATCAAAAAACAGCAACACAACAGTGTAAGTGTGCATCTCACACACAATCATCACTCCTAACCTACTTATTTATAAATAACAACAACAAAAAATTCACGTGTGCACGGCTTTACCTGTGTCGCCTGAATGACACGTATATACACTATCTCAGCACGTGCGAACACCTGTAGCACGACTAGAGCCACCTATTGGCTACTCTCATACCAAAGAGAAAATAATTTCATCCTAATTCCTAAACCGTCAACCGGTTGAAATTATATTTCTCTCCTAAATTATTATCCAATAGGAATAATAACACAAATACAAAATCTTGTATTTCCCAGCGACATAGGCACTGACTGATGAAACTCAAAGAACGGGAAAATTGTTTTCAAATCTATATTATGAATAGAATTAATCCCAGATACGCACACTAAAACTGTCACGATTCTATAAATTATAAATTCAAATGTTGAGAAACGCTTAACCTTTCGTCAAATTTGTCTTTAACATACCCATCTTTGGCTGTCTCAGACCGCCATCTCCCATGGCGTTTAAACAACCTATCCGGAATACCACAATTAGCTGCAGCAGTAGCTCCACCTGCGCGAAAACTGTGCAATCCATAACTTTTAATGTCGGGCACAAAAGCAGAAAAGGACTCGATGAAATGTTCCCGAAAGCGCGAATAAGACATCGGTTTATTAGCTTTCCTAAGCACATACTTGTCGCCTTTCTTCGTAACATTACGAAAAACATATTCCTCGGAATCATCACAAATCCCAGACAACTTGGAATAAATTTCAAAATTACACACTGGACACAAACGCGACTCCGTTCTGCTCACAAGAATCCATGCACCATCTCTGTATACATCTGTTTTCGACCGCTCCACGAAAATTTCTAAATGTGTTGTGCGTATCTGGATATCAGACCTCCGTAACGCTAAAACCTCTGCACTCCTCATAAAACCTGAGTAAGCAAATAAACACATTGTTAAAATTCTTTGATTATACAAATTGTTCTTATCGAAGAGTTTATCATATACATTATTCAAAATTGACACGGTGATTGGTTCCTTCCTCCTAATAGGTTTCGCTAACAATCGTTTCGCTCCCTCAAATACATTTTTTACTAATAAAGAATCTGTGGGTGATGATTTACCTACAATATTGTGTGCCCATTTTATACCATATAGTGCATCTGTAATACTTCCAACTTTGCCGTTATTTCTAACCAAATAAGATAAATATATGCAAAAAACGAACGGTTTCGTCGGAAAAATATCCTGTTCCTCAAAATTGTTTTGAAATGCCCATTGTTTCCATCGCAAATAACCATGGCAATATTTCCTAACGGTACTGTCTGCTCTACACCCCTGTAGCAAGTGTGGAACCGTCAATGCTAAGTCTTTAAGGTGATCCGGTACCATATCATACTCATCTTTCAAAGCACGTGTCGCTAAATGTAAAAAAATAGAAAATAAAATTCCAAAATAATTACCTTTATATGTATGATAACACATATTGTACAAATTCAGCATCTTAAACCACTTGCACAATTATCCACACACATATATATACCATAATTTCACCAAAAATTGGTCAAATTAAATCAATCGTATAACACGATTTCACCAAAAGTTGGTTAAATTAAATCAATCGTATAACACGATTTCACCAAAAGTTAGTTAAATTAAATCAATCGTATAATCCGATTTCACCGAAAATTGGTTGAATTAAAACAATCGTATAACACGATTTCACCAAAAGTTGGTTGAATTAAATCAATCGTATAATCCGATTTCACCGAAAATTGGTTAACTTAAATCAATCGTATAACACGATTTCACCAAAAATTGGTTGAATTAAAACAATCGTATAACACGATTTCACCAAAAATTGGTTGAATTAAATCAATCGTATAACACGATTTCACCAAAAATTGGTTGAATTAAATCAATCCCACAATACTATTATCACCAAAAGTAGGCTAAATCAAATCAATCGTATCACACGTTTCTCACCAAAATTGATATCATTTTCTATGCTACATTTCTCACTTAAATTCAGTTTATCTATTAAACCACTACCGAAAATCAATACGTAACGCAATCATCGGGAATGTTAGATCTGCATTTCCAAACATGCCTTTCCCCGATCTAGATGATGTATAAAAACATTTTTCTCTTTGTAAAAACCTGTATTCATTAACACCTGCTATGAAATGGTGTCCGTCCGGACACAAGCATGGCCAAAACCTACCAGACTTCCAAAAAGGAATGACTAGCGTGCCATACGCTTTGCACATTTGCATATACCTAATAACTCTTGATATTAGATACACTGGTGGAACAAACCAACCGTTTTTCCCAGTCCAACTTGTTGAAAATGCATCAATGCCTACAGACCCTGGATTCCAATACCTAGAATAAAATATAGGCACCTTCCTATTATACCAGGAAGCAAACCAATCCACATCAAAAGGACCCCACATGTCATTAAACAACTGAAAAACATTTTCAGACACACCCCAGTCGTCAACATCGACAATTTTGCTGATAAAATCAGCACAAACATTTTCTTCTCTAGGAACCCATTCCATTTCTAATGATATCTGATTTTGTATCATAAGCACAAAAATATCAAGTGCTATATTTTGCAAAGATGCTTTCATGCTTCCTTTCTCTACGATCGCCACCACACCCTGGTTATCTGAAAACCATTTCACCCTGGTCCCTCTCAGTACATGAACAAGTGAACACAACACTCGATATACAGCTATCAACTCTCTGAAAGTTGAACTTTGACACGCCTCGTTCTCAGTCCACACACCGTGTGCCACGCCCACCGGTGACTCGACGCAATACCCACCGTACCCTGTGCCGCTGGCATCAGAATATACTATTCTATTGCACTGTGGGGAAAACTGGATTTCTCTAGAATTAATACAATTAATGTGATTAATCCAAAATTCCATCTGAGCTATAGTATTATCATCCACAAAAATTCTATCATTCCACGACTGGGCTTTTAAAATACTCATACTGACACATTTAGTCATCAGCTGAGTAATATTGCCCAAAACTATACTCATCGACATAATTTGACCAACAAAACTCGCTAGAGATTTGACATGAACAGACCTGCCACTGTACACAACTTTTAATATGTCAATAACACACATACGTGCTTTCTCTACCCGTCTCTCCGGAATGCAAAGAATTCCTAATAAAGTATTAATATCTACACCGAGAAAAGTCATGAATTGTACAGGATCCCACATAGATTTGTCTGCTTTTGGCACAAAACCTGAATCTATAATGTCACTTTTAACTTTTGCACTCTGTTCTACTAATTCAAACTTATCAGTGTTATGACACAATCCGTCATCCAAATACATCAAAATTTGTAGACCCTCACCTCTCCACTTCTTAATGAGCGGTCTAGTGACTTTAGTAAAAATATATGGCGCTGTAGACAGACCAAAGGGTAACACCAAGAACTTAAAATATACTTTTTTAGAACCAAAAGTCCACGAAAAACCAAGAAATTTGGTGTGGGGAGGATAAATATCTATGTGATGATACGCCGAATGTATATCGAATTTTATCAACCACCCATGTTTCTCTATATACAACAAAGCTGTACGTAGATCGTCATATTTCACGGATTGTTTCCACAAATGTTTATTAACCTCCCTTAAATCCAAAATTAAACGCTTTTTGCCATTGCATTGAATCGATACAGTTAATGGATTTGTCATATATGGGGGTTCCTCACATCTTTCTATCAATTTACGTTTCTCTAGATCGAAAATAGCTTTCTCCACAAACTCGGCATTTTTCAACGCTGACACGTTATTTTTAAATTCTGCTTGTTCTGGTTCGGAATAAAATGGAATTTTATAACCGTTATCAATCACGTCCAACACAAACTCAGAACATCCAATATTCTTCCAAAATTCAACATTATTTTTTAATCTGCTTTTTACTAAAATGTCAGCCTGACCTTGTTCGTATTCAAAATAGTCGTTAGTAAATTCTGTACTAGCACAGGCTCCTGTATAATCACTATTTGATAAACTATACTTATCTTTGATAACTTGAGCCTCTCGAGTCTCTGTGTCCTTATATTATGTCCCAGTCCTGGACTGTCCCGCTTATTTGTTAACGATTGGACAATCTTTCCTGAAGTGTCGGAAATCCCCACATGCAAAACAGGCTCCCTGGTTTCCCCGCTGGCCACGAAAAAGCTGATTCCCATCAGAATGCCGCACAGAAGTAGAAACCTGACCCGGAGCTCCCGCCGCAAAACTAGGACTTTGATATACATACTTTGACCTCTGTCTGTTGAGAAAAACGTCTTTCTTCTTTTTCTGCTTATCCTTTAACCTTTTCACAGCCTTATTCTCGGCGCGTGAAATTTTCTTGTCGTCGTCAGAATCACTAGCAAGAGGATTGGCCATATACTCTTTGACTGTCCCCCACCCTGCCAGTATTCTTCCTTCTTATTTTCAATAGCCCACCGCGTTTGATTCCCTTCCTCCAACAGGTCCGTATTGAACATATACTGCTGCTTATTCCCCTCACCTTTCCAGATAATACCTTTGTCCTCTTTCAGCTTTTGAATTTCTTTAGAGACATCTCTCCCATTTTGAATTTCGCATAGCCTTGTATCTAAATATGCTTTCATTTCACATTTCTGACTCTGTAATTGTTGAAAAATGTCACTTAACGTAACACTGCTAGCAGTATTCGCACCACTGCCCTCCATCTGTATACCGCAAACTCTCTCTATCAAAATTCACGTGTGCACGGCTTTACCTGTGTCGCCTGAATGACACGTATATACACTATCTCAGCACGTGCGAACACCTGAAGCACGACTAGAGCCACCTATTGGCTACTCTCATACCAAAGAGAAAATAATTTCATCCTAATTCCTAAACCGTCAACCGGTTGAAATTATATTAACAGTTCTGCTCCCCTCACTTCTATCGACTACCGGGACTGCGATTGGTTGATTTGCGTAGTACTAAATGCCGGGCGAAGTGGATGTGGCACCAAATACTGACTATTTATTTGTTTATTTAAAAATACGCGTTTTGTCTAATCAATGGGAAAAATCATCGCTTTTCATAGCTATGACTGAAGCGCATTTTAATAGTGACGGCAGCCATCTTGGAAACTCACTTGCGATTCAATGGCGTTCCATTATTTGATAACGTACCCGATATAGGAACACAAGGTTAACTTTTAAACCACATTGAGAATAATAATAGCGTCACGTTACCATATTGTATATTGGCCCCAAAATAATTGAGTTTATCAATTGATTACAACAGTTGGACACCGTCTAACAGATACGTGATGTCGAATCATAGCATAGATTTCAGAACCTGAACATTGGCTCTATCAAAACTGTCTCTATTCATTCCAATAGGATAAACACAAACAGGATGTACACGTAAGGTTTATGTTTGTGTACAATATAAATGAGCATACTACGACGCCGATTACTACTTTGAATAGAATGTGTATGGTGTATGTGTATAATGTATAAGGTGCTGCGCATAAATATTCTAGGTATAAAAATATTGCCTTCGTTTGTAATGTTATCGAGTACTGCGCTGCGCATTGTCATACATTATATAGAATTTTGAGTACGATGTTCTTGAGCCGAGTCAAATTGGTAATAGAGGAGCATTACGCTTATGTAAAGCGTACCGAGTACACAACAAGGTTGAGTCATAGTGAGTACGGGAAATAACGTTTGAGTACGACGTTACCGAGTACGGTGCTGCGCCATCTGCATTGTAACACTGGATATTGGAGCTACACATCTACAGTATGGCGCCGCGCCGAGTCATATTGAATATACATGTAATATGGTATAGAATATTGAGTTCGAGTACGATTCTACAGAGTATGGCGCTACGCCGATGTACTTGGAATAAATATAACTTCCGTGTGCAATGTCGCCGAGTATGGCTCTGCGACGTGTCATATCGGGTACTATAGCATCATTGTATTCCAGTACGATGCTACAGAGTGCGCTGCAAGGACAAATCATACTGCGAATATAATACAGTTTATGTATTCAAGTACATGTATGGTCTTGCAGGCCACGGCGCCGTGTCCTTCTAGGTATAGAATATTATGTCCACGTGCAATATTACCGAGTGCGTTACATGACCGAGTCAGTGAGGGAAAGGGACATTACGTTCGAGTTACAAAGGCGCCGAGAACGGTGGTGCAGCGCCAGGTGATACTGGGTATGGGATAGCGATCGAGTACAATTTTGCTGAGTAAGGTGTAACGCCGAAAAAATACTCGATATACTCGTTGTCTTCGTGTACAATTTTAAATTACAGAAGACACCAACTCAATTTAGGCTGCATACACAATATATATATAGTTCGCGCTAATGATACGCGCGTATGCATTTAGACACGGATTGGTTTCGTGCAGCATCAAGGGTAGTCATTAAAGTATAAAATCTATTGACTTGCGTTCGTGCAAATCATATAAGTTTGCGTTGGGGAGAGGTTAAGATGATGTGTATGACATTGAGATTGATATAACAGTTTATAGTCCTATCGTGCGATGGAAAAATTCTGGGACTAATTGGAGAAGTGTTACATCATTCTAACAATACGCTTGCTCGTTATTGAGCGTTAGTTGGGAGTATCACCCACATACATAACCAATACTATCGGATTACCATCATCATTCGCTGGTTGGGAGACTATTCAAAAAAACAAACTGTTTTGTGTCTTTTTAAACTCGGAACTCCGTCAGCTCGAGGTATGGAGATAATAAAATTATAACCTGTAAACAGGTTGTGGAAGTATCTGATCACATACGAGCCCGGTGAAATGGACGAGTGGCGTAGTGGTAAGCGCATCCGCTTTTCACCAAGACGGTTTGGTTTGGATTCCCCGGCCAGAACACACACCAGTCTAATGAGTGATACGACTCGCTGATCACTCTGATCACACACGAGTCTGCTGGCCTTCCTTTCTCTATCTCTCTCTCTCTCTGTTCATAAATTACTCTGGTGAGCTACCTCTCTCTGATCACACCAGTTGAATGTGGTGCCCTGTCTGATCATAAACCGATCTAGTGAGCTGCGTCTCTGATCACACATCAGTCTAATGACCCGCCTCTCTGTGATCACACCTCAGTCTAGTGAGCTGCTTCTATCTGATCATGCATCAGATTAGTGAGCTAACTCTCTCTGGTCACTCACCAATATAGTGCGGTGCCTCTCTGTGATATCATAACAGTTGAGTGAGCTGCCTCTCTGATCACGCATACGTCTAGTGAGCTGCCTCTTTTATCTGATCACACATCAGTCTAGTGAGCTGCCTCTTTTATCTGATCGCACATCAGTCTAGTGAACTACCTCTCTGTGATCACTCACCAATATAGTGAGCTGCCTGTGTGATCACACACCAATACAGTGAACGACCTATCTGTGATCACTCACCAGTCTAGTGAACTACCTCTATGTGATCACTCACTAATATAGTGAGCTGCCTCTCTGTGATCACTACCAATATAGTTACATGTAGCTGCCTCTCTGTGAGCACTCACCAATACAGTGAACTGCCTCTCTGTGATCACACACCAATACAGTGAGCTGCCTCTCTGTGATCACTCACCAATACAGTGAGCTGCCTCTCTGTGATCACTCACAAATACAGTGAGCTGCCTCCTTGTGATCGCTCACCAATACAGTGAGCTGCCTCTCTGTGATCACTCACAAATACAGTGAGCTACCTCTCTGTGATCAATCACCAATACAGTGAGCTGCCTCCTTGTGATCGCTCACCAATATGGTGAGCTGCCTCTCTGTGATCACTCACCAGTCGAGTGAGATGTATCTCTCTGATCATACAGCAGGCCGGTGAGCTTCTCTTCCCGATCTAGTGACCTCTTTCTCTCCGGTTACACATCAATTTTCATGACTTCTCCTATCATAAATCAGCTTCGCAACCTGCCCCACGCCATCTCTTGTTCAAAGTCGATCCACGTCCGCAGAATTATGTAAGAATTGGCACGCTTTGTAAAATTTAATTCATTAAATGATATTTGTTTGACGAGACATCAATACACGTTACACAAGAGAGACATTACCCTGCTAACTCTACAGGTTATACCAACTTCACAGACCAGACCGATACCATTTACATATTCTGTAAGGAACGCGAAACTCACTTTAAATATCAGACATGTACATGGCCCGATTAAGGCTACCATCATATGCTGTCTGTAGCATTACCTTGCCTGTAAGTCGCCTCAGCCCACAACCGGTATGTCTGCTAGACATGTATGGTAATAACATCATAGGGACCGACTCGACTGGTGATGTCCTTTAACAACCTTACTGGCATGTATTTATAATTGTGTACGCCCGATTTACCCGGTGGCTTGACTTTATCAGAAGTTTTACATTTCAGATATATAAATAGATTTTGCATTGTTTTTATATTGGCACTTAGAATGGTGAAACAGTCCACCTCGCCATGTTCGTGACATCGTTACCGGTTACAATTGCTTCAATTAGAGTTATGATATTGTACTGTAGTATAAGTAACTTCCCTACTAGACATCTCGTCAATATAAACAGGATTTCTCTCCACGTTCACGTACTGCAAATGAATTAAAAATTTCAATATATCGCCTATATATAAATATGATATAGGACTTAATTCTACATTAGTTTAAGATATACATAACTGTCGCAAATGCGTTATGGTGGAATATTTCACAAAAGTACAATAAAGTGAAGGGTTTTGTTTTACTTTGTGCAACATTTTCGAACCAGCGTATTATATTTATCTTCGTAAATACACTCACAGCGGTTTGGAATGAGAATAATCAGTTTGGTATGTATATAATAAACACTCAGTTTGTTTTGAACACAAACAGGAATTGAACACGTATTCTGCCACGTCAAAACATTTCAAATGGATTGTCAACGCCTGTGGAGATCTAACGTCGGCTCCCGCTTAGGATTTCAAAACAAAATAACCATAAAAACTATAGCTATAGGAAGCTTAGATCAGAGAGAGTTAGCTTCAGAACTTTTTTTATGACAAATGGGACCTCATTCACTTACACCTGTGTGGGTGTTAAAGGGGAGGTAATACTGGTCCTCCTAGAGCATTCAAATTACACAATTACTATAACATCATATCATCATCGTGTGCAACATATACCAACTATTATTTTGATACCAACTAGTACCATATTTCAAGAGAGAAATTAGCTTTTTGCTGAAGATTTAAGCAGAAAAGTATGTGAAATTTCATTATTTATGAGAAAATTCCAATTTTTGACACGTCAATTTACATAGTTCTAAAACGAGTCTATTTTTTATACTTGCTTTTAAAGTTAGCTACCGATAATACCTTTCAACATCAGGAATTCTGAAAAATGAAAACGGTTAAATTTTTCATACAACACCTCGGATTTAAAAAATAAAAAGATAAAAAAGTCATTGGGTCTTGATATTTGGCAAGTAGGTTGTTCATGTGTATGTATATAGGTTTGGTAAACATTGGTGACCTTGACCTTAGTTAAAGCTCACACGAATCAAATGTGCTAAAATCTAATTATTGTATAGACAGACAAGGATATCTTTCCTTGCTTTACTTGTTAAGAGTTAAAAAAAATCAAATAATAAGAATACATATTTATGAGTTAGCACTGCTGCAAATAACTTAAAAACATGCATCATATAAAGCAGTGTTTTGGTATGATACAAAAACAGAAAATGTATCGGTATTTACACTAATTAACAATGAAAATCAAATCTTCATGAGTATGTGAAATTGTGCATTGGCCATGTTTGGCATGCTTAAAAGGTATTTTACCGGTTTTAATATTACATAAAAACTATATTGCAGACAGAATATATATATATGAAATGTTTTTAAAGAAGTATGAAATATAGGCTACCATTGTAACTATGTTAGGCAAGTTGACAATGTTGGATATATTTTTATTTTGTGAAAAGTTTCTACGTTTTTCTGATTAAAAGTATCACTACGCTTACTTCATGTATACCAATATGACATATTTAGTATCAAAATAATAGTAATTTTACACACTATACACTTTCATTATTCATTTCAGAATCACATTAGCCTGTGACATGTATGTGTTATTTTGTTAGGATAACCCCGTCAATCAACTTGGTGTTATGCAAGGAGGTCCACTACGGTTATCAGTAGCAATTATGACTAACCATAGAAACAGTTATTGTTCATTTTATGTTTCTACATATGGCGAAACAATAAAAGAAATTGAAGCGGGCGGCGAATGTTGACCCCAACCTATAAACGTTCATATGACCGAACAAAAAAAAGTTCATTTTGGCTGTTTAATAGCACATGCTTAATCGAAAACTACTTTAAAATTACTTAGACCCGTTTCTACACGAAGGTGTTCCGAATGCACTTTGTTGTAGTTTGCATACATGAACTTAAATATCCTCGGGATTCATTCTTTCTTATGTTTTATGTCGTCCGCCGGAGAGATGGACAAATTATGTTGTACATTTGGCAAGATGACTACATTCAACGCATGGTAGTCTCAGAACTAGACTAGTATACATTCATCTCGTCAAAGTCTTCTCAAAACGATCATTGTATATTACGTATATACTTGTAGTTATTGTTTGTGTGAGAAATGTCCACGAATTTGTGTTCATTTCATACGACATTTACGAAAATCTAACATGTTCTCTTCAATAACGACTTCACACTCGCTTCATTAATCTATATTTAATGTGAATTGAAAACACATTAGATCATCAGTTATATCTATGTATAGTTATGTTACATTGCCAGATCTTGAATAAATACACGTAATATTTGAATTGCGTGCTATTTATTATATTGCCACGACCTGATGTCTTAATACCAAAAAGCCGTGATCAAACCGCTCCATCAACACACAAAGAAGCAACGTTTGCTAGCTCTATCTTGATGCATGAGCGTCATGGTTTTGTAGCAATCGATCGTCAGGTTACGAAAACAACCATTCTTCTTTCAGAGAACGTGCGTACATTGTTAGCCACAATTGTCGTTTTTCTGACATATTCTCACTTATTTCTATAGCAATACGATATATGTTTAATCTTTCGGATAGCTTCACACGAGGTGGAACCTTTAACAATGCTCCGTGCGCGTGCTATGTGATGCCGATGGTATTGTTTGTGGAGCCTAGATTACAAAGCGCTGGTATCCGTAAATAGACCTCGAGTATAATCCATGGATTCTAATTAACGTTTTGTTACTTTCCTTAATTGTGTTTAACTGAAAGAAAATGTAATTTACTTTACAGTAAATTGGTTCAATTTAATCCTCTGTATCTCGGTTTCCATTCGCTAAAAATGTTCACTTGAGGAACAACAAATTATGCTGATGTCTTGCCTCGTTTGTTGGTAAATAGGGGCAGATTAGGACCCGGGCCCTCGCGATGTGCAGGCCGAGTAGGACTCGTGACATTAACGTGGATCCTAATTGAAACTAAGCTAGCATGACGGGAGACCTTGAACATTGTGTAATTGCCGTATTACGGCATCAATGTGTAATGCCCAATGGAATCGTGCAACATGTGCTTGCAGGCATGCATACATAATTTACGTGGTTGTCTTTAAAATAGCTGCTTGCGTAGTCGTTACTATTGCTCATATGATGTGTTGTGATAATGTATGTCCCTGCAAAACATTTTTGCTTGACATCCTAGGATTTCCCGAGGACAGTTATACAATTCATTTGATTGTGGACTGTACATACATTTATGTGTTTGAACAAATCTCCCTGAAGTGGGCACGATTTCCTTTACCTAAAGATTCTGAGTATGATTTCTTACCTAAGTGTTTACAAGTCTGACATTGGGATTGGAAGTCTACCTTTGTCTTCGAGGTCCGAGTTACTATAGCACTGGACCTGATTTTCGATCGCAATTTACAGGTTTCTGTCGGGGAGTGGTCCTTATATTCCACCTTGAATTTTTCTTTTCATGTCGGAGCCTAGCAGTGGGCCAGATAATATACTTTTACCGTTACAGGTCTAGATTATTCCTCTGATGTCTACAAATATCACCTCTATTTTTACAGGTCTAAGTCTAGCAGTGGGCCTGATTCTGTACATCTCTGTGATCAATGATGAGGTAGGCCACCGAATGAAAGAAAAGGACAAAGAGGAGGTTTCCTTCAGCTATACGTACGGATGGTCGTTCTATTTCGCCGGAACCGCCTTCCTGTGTGCCATGCTGTCGGCGGTCATTCACGTGTCACTCTACCTTCAGAGGAACTCGCGCAAGGAGGAGATGGTCCGGGTCATCCCAGGGCTAGACGAACTGCTGGAAAGCGACACGGGCACCGCTAACCCAACCGTCATCATCTGACATAACAAGATGCCCACCTACCGGTGTCATAGTACACGCCTATTTGCAGATACACCACATAAAGTTCGTTTACATTGGTTCGTTATAAACACAACTATGACTTGTACCATATATGTTTAATGTATCAATGTCTCTGGCGTCGGTTGACAATCTCTGAGCATTGTCTGACGAAACTGGTTTGGCCTGAATGCAAAGTGATGATGCCTTTTCTTTTGAGCAGTCGTTCATATCCTTGAAAAGGTCAATTGAGTGCACGTCTATATATAGACAGGGACTTCGCCAGAAAAGAGGATACATCGAAACAATACCTACAGAACAGTCTTTCAACTTTCAGACAATTTTCTGAACAAACGCCGAAAAATTGTTAAGAATAACTCACATATATAGTCTAGTTAATATATAATCTCTGACAACGTCTTCTACTTTCTTAACGTGAATCTCATGTCGCCAGACATGTCTTCGCGCATGCTCATTCTTTTGACGACACGGTAACGTTCTGACCATTACGAGGCTGTGACATACTTACGGCAACCATGATGGACGTTATTTGTCTTTCCATGTCTAAACTCCTCAAAGGTTACTTGACGTGGTCGGCATAATGTACGGGACCAATTCCAGTATCAGCGATATGTGATATGCTATCGGTTTAGGTTAATATGGATTACTGAACTACAATCATGTTGTTTATTTATCGGTGTATAAGCAAGATTCTGTCGGATTCCCTCCATAGTCTGAACGTCCGATCGATCGATAATTTCTGATATTTCTGATTATAAAGTGAAATATCGGATTAATTTTTGTTTTATTTGATCGGTTATTGATTGCTTTATTATCGATTAATCGATCAAGTGGATGGATAGCCTGGCATGGTACCAGTAAATAATGCTGGGAGTTGTTTTTACTGTCCTTCCAACGACATGATCTACCAATAATTTGTCTTACAGGAAATTTACACGGGGTATAGTTAACAAGGTTTGTATACGTTTTGTTTTGTTTCCAATAAAAATGTTCTTTTGTAAAGAGGTTTTCCTTTTTTTTCGGTGATGATTTCCAGTCAAAACATTCAAATACGGTACCATCCCTCTGTCTTACAAAAGTTTGTTAACTCCCGCACACATTACCTTGCCTTCCTCCTCCCTAAAGTACTTAAACTCATCATAAAGTAACATTGCATTGCATGTTACTTTCAACCAAGCAAATAAACCATACACAGTTTCTGTCAAAACAAACACTAAACAATATGTTGCTACTGTGACTGCAATCAAATGCTACTGGCTCCACCTAAAACAAACCGTGCATCAACATTGTCACTATGATCCTAAAACATGTCTGCCGTTTCTACTTTATGTCCTTCAGTGTCATGATCCGTCCAGCTTTCCTAACTATAACTCATAAACCACTGAGGTCACTGATGTCAATGGCAACAACAGGGTGTTCTTCAGTAGTGACCTATGTTAAACACCTACTTCTGTCCTTTTTTGTTGGCATCCAAATCTAACAAACCCTACTGTCAAATTTAAAACAATTCCTGGTAGCCCTGTCTTGATGGTGTTTCAGTTGCCTGGCACTGTTGCGCACACGGCTTGCATACCTCAATTTCCGCGAACATGTTAAGACATTTGACTAGACTTCCGTCGACAGCTTTGCATGTCTCCTTTTGCACTCCTTTCCTTATGAAAACAGCATAGCTTGGGTATGTGAAATTAGAGATATCGAGGGAATCAGTTATTGGTCTTGACCGATCCGAAAATCTAAGACGGTCACCCTGGCCTCTGATTGCCTGAAATATTTTCGACTTTTTAATCAAGGCTGCACCACTCGACTCCGAACTTGATACAAATTTGTATTTGTATTTCAAGTGTTTGTAATTTTCGTATCGATTTGAAAATCCTTTAAACACATTTTACAGGGAAGGTAAACAGGCTCGATTAAAATCACTTTATATGAATGGTAACTAGGCTAGAGAAAAGCAGAGTTTGCAGAGACCAGCAGACTGCATTAACAAGAGTTTAAAGGTAGAAAGGTACAGCTACATGCTGAAAGTTTCACCACAGAGTCATTAATCTTTCTCTGATAAAACACCAGGATAGTCCACAGTCCCGCAATGGTAAATATTTAAAAGTGCAAACGAAACTACAAGGTACCGCCTCCAAATTATTCAAGTAGCCGGTATTTGCATGAATAGAAATGCTTTCAGTCAAAAACCAAATACCTCTAAATACTTGCATCAGATAGAACATAACAGTTCTGAAGGTGTTAGAGCAGAAGATTTACTATTAATGTTCTAATAGTGTGTCATGAAATGAAGTCGACACGTAAGCGTTGACAATATTTTGTGCAAGTACCGTGCACAAAAAAACCCTGACTGTTTTAGGAGGGCAACCGCTATAGGTTTGCACATGTATAGTAATTTTACCAGGGAATCTTAAAATGACACTGAATAGAGTAAGTGGCGAGTTTGAAAATTCTCAATATACACAGCATTGAATAAAGCTGCATGTGACACTACGTTAGGACAAATCGTCCAACACATCCAATGACACGGTAACAAGGGAATTATTTGTAATTTCTCGGTGCCCAAACTCATCAATGGGGGGAAAATCTCGCCACTTCACTGTGTCTTGTATTTCAAAGTTGATCCTTTTCCAACATTGTCTCCGATGATTATCCTCGTCCTACCTCGAAACTCGTCAACCTCATTTTTCTTTCCAATTCGGCTACTTTCTGGGCCGGCCAACCTTTCTCGCTTTGGCTCAAAGCATTTCTAATCATGCGCATACCGACAACTAGGATTAGTAGTAGGCGTTAGCTTGTAATTTCGTTCTGACCGAATATCTATATTAGGACTTTCCTGACGTTCAAATAGTCTAAAAATAATCATTGTTTGGCTCATTTGTAATTCAACTTTCATTTCCGTGATCTGAAGATAAAAAGTAATTACACAAAAGATATGACTGAAGCAATCTCGACTGTTTTTCAATTTTTGTTGTAGTTGTTGTTATAATTGCGAATTCCAATGTTTATTTCGCTTTAGACAATCAACATCTAGTCGAAATAAAAAATAAAAGTTATTTGATCATGAGTATTACAACTCATTTAAATATAAAAAGCATTGTAACTAAGTCTGCTATATATATCAGTACACAGTTTTCTATGCACGCTATCATGCTGATACCAGGTTCTCTGTTAGTGGTAGACTCTATCTCTGATCATCATGCGTTGTCAGATTGAAATCTGCAAGCTCCGAGTTTCCCCGGAAAAGTGATGACAAAAAACCGAATCCATGTAACGACGGTGTGTACGCTGATTACTTAACCTTGTGTGCCGGTCGATAATCGTATCACAGCTATTTCCTGTACTCAATGTAATTGATTATTTATAGGGAGGATCTTTTATATGTTTAGCTGTGCCATCGTATACATATATAACTGAAAAGAATGACGCGTCACGCAGCGTCACGTGATCCACTCACCCCTTACTGATTTTATCTAAATGGATATTATTGTTACTAGAGGATTTTGTCATCATTTGACGTTCTTTCTCCTAGTTCTCTCAACACATAACTGTAACCAAAGTCCTATCACCGTACCATACCACTCGTCCTGAAGCATTCTGTTATAGTAGTGTCGTTGTATAACATTTGAAGTGTGCCCACTATTTTGTTCATATGTAAAATTCGATGGTTCGGTATGCAGTGGTACCGTGCAAAATATTTAATTATGATGTATTTCTCTTGCCATTTAATAAGCGTTATTTTTCGAGTCTATACCAGAATGCCTCCTCGACCTATGCGTGTGCATATTGGGGTTGCGCACGGTCTGTTGTCCATTACTTCATGACTGTTGACCAATAAAAAACGTCGTTATATGGTCGTAAGGGAAAGTTACGTGCAAACAACAGCGCAGAAACTGATGAGTACCTAAACTCTCCGTCGACGCTGTGAATTTGTTGACATACTGTCACTTGATATTGTGTGTATGTGGACGTTTTCATGGCCACATTTTCAATCATTGTCTGTATTGAAGGTTATTATAGATAATGTGAAATTTGATTATTGGTTTTCCCCGTATTCGGTGATTGCTTTGGCAGTTTTATGTATTTCTGCCCTGAAACTGCAGATTGTCTACTTGAAATAAAAAAATAAATAAAAAAAATCCGATATATATCCACAGGATAGTTTTTCATAACATCAAAGGCGAAGAATGAAAGACTTATCCGGCAAGCTTACGTCATCACAATCAGAGCTGCACATCTGGTTTCACTCACAGGTCCCAGATCGCACCAGGCATTTGGCCAAATTTAATATTTATTGTAACTTTTCCTTAAATCAAACGCCAGAGAAAAGACGTAAAAACTTTTTTTTTTTATTTCTGTGTGTCGGAGACACGATATCAGCTGGTGGATTTTAAAACATGATTCTAAAGTGGCAGACAGGTACACATGATGTCACCGTTTTCCTTTTTTGCTTGACAGTAGACTGAATATGATATTGCCATTGATGAGAACATGTGTCTTACACATGCTTGTCAAACAGGACCGGCTAGTCATTAAACACCTTCCTATAGCTGGCTAGACATCGGCCGATCTGCTATATGTACTGACCTGTAGCGTGTATGTTTGATGACATGTTTGACCCTCAAATGTACTGCTACACAAATAATGTTTTCTCCGACAGTTGGGTTTTGTTGTTTCAACAAATGTTTAAAAAGAATCAATATCTCTGAACAGCTCATAGCCTAATATTGGATGGATGTTGCACCGCGCGTGGTGAATCTTTTGTCGGCCGATTCGCGAGACGATCAGAATCATGGGTTTTCGGACAGGACGAGAACACTGGGACGCTTGATTCTGACGTGATGGACGTCTTCACAGTCGATCAATCTCCACTGAAGCCGCAGAGGCTCCAATCAGAACTGCTTATACGACTGATTAAACTGGGCCGACAGTTTGTCAGATTATCCATAACTCGTTAGAGTCGTTTGTGGTTCATGCGAGAATGATACACTTCATAGGGCTAGTGTAAATATTGGATATGACGCATAATCAAGCTTGTTTTTTTTCAATCCATCGTCGTCCATTCTCTATAAATACTTGTCACATACTTGTCGCTGGGTTATCAAGGACACTTTATTTACACGGGGGCGCTAGTGCCCTGTTGGCGGAGTATGGCCTGGTACGAAACTAATCATTACATTTCATTATTTCCCCTTTGCCGTCTCCTCCAATCAAAACAGAGCTTTATAAATGGTCTCTACATTGCAACGTAGAACTATTCCATAAATAAGACAAAAACATTTACTCCATTCCTCAGGGTGGCGACAGAGCCGCTCCGTCTCTGATGCAATGCCTCACAGCATGTCTCGTCCTGGGAATACCAAGACGAAAGTAGGCATATGCGAGAAGAAGTGTCTCCATCGAAACCTATTATTTCTAGGCATATACTAGTACAGCTGTATATCTGCTTTGGAACGATACTTTTTCAGGGGCTGCCTTCCACGTGATCCGGAAATCTGAGTGACCCTAACATCTTTGGACACCGTGGCTACAAATCCATTAACAAATAGAGCACGTGGGGTGGTTACGGTCGTTGTATACTAGGCATGTTAAACGGCAATCAAGGAGCGCAGTTACATCAATAATGAATTTATAATCGAAGTGAATTCAAGAAAAATAAATATGTATGTATGTCAAACCGACATGATAGCCTTAAGGCGATTGCAAAACATAGACTGTTATTATAACTTATCTTTATAACAGTTAGTCTGATTGAATGATATTTATCACGTGACGAGGCAATAAACAATCCCCGATCATACTTCCCTTATTCGGAGTTTCCAGAAAAATGAGCAAGTACCACTCCAACAATTACAGAATGACTGAAACAGACAACAACAATGCTGCGTCAATCTGGTCACCTTTACTACTTGATAACATTTTAGTTCGGCATAAAATGTTTTCTTCCCTCTACGATTAATCATATTTAACTAAGGATTCGCCCTGATGAAAAATT